GATAAAGGCACCCTGCCCCTCCCTGCAGCTCCTCCCGCTTCTGGTTTCCTCTTCCCTTCCCTTTCCGGGAAAGTGACGCCTGGACCCCGGCCCCAGCCTCACCCAGCCCGGGGCCTGGCCCTGTGACTCACACCTCCTTTCCCTCTGGAGCCAGCTGGGCTGAGACTGAAGCTCCAGGAAGCTTGGCTGTGTGACTCTGGGCATCTTGAGCCTCTCTGGTTGGCAGTTCCTGGAGCTCATTAGGAGTGACTGGTGTGGAGGGGCTCTAAGGCAAAAGGTTGGGGATCCACAGCACCCCCAGTGACTCTACTCTGAGGCTGGATGACTCACACCACCAGCAGGTGTGAGGTTGTGGACTGTGTGAACCCCAGGGTGGGAGATGCAGTGCATCCAGAAATCAGGGTCCCTTGGCCCTCAGCCCTCTGGACAGAGTCTGGTCTTTGCAGAGTGTGGCTGTTTTCCCCCCAGTGGTTTAACACCCGTGGCCAACCCAGTGACCCCTCCTCTCAGAACTGGGTAAACAGGAGCTGGCCCAGCACCTCTTGGAAGTCGAGAGTCTGGGCCATGGTCATCATTCCAGGATTCATTAAATATTTTTTAAATCAGGAAATGCCAAGACATGGGTTATAAAAATTATATGTGTATTTCTTAAATTTATCCAATTTATTGTTTTTAAAAAGAAAAGTATACACTGGTCAGGTTTGACTTCAATTGGAAGATGAAAAGGAGTAAATTGGGTATCGGTGGGAACATGAGACATCCCGTAAGTCTGATTCAGACCAGATTCTTTTTTTTTTTTTTTTTTTTTTTTTTTTTTTTTTTTTTTTATTTTTTTTTTTTTTTTTTTTTTTTTTGGTATAGGGAATGGAACTCAGGACCTTGAGCTTTTGAGGCAGGCACAGTTCCACTGGGCAAAATCCCCAGCTGGACCAGGCTGGTTTATTAAAAAAAAAGTCCAAGTTCCAGTGGTCCGGGTGGGTCAGTTCCCCTCTGATGCATTCCTGTGCAGGTCAGAAACTGTACCAAAGGTCCCATACCTAAAAGGGCTGCTGAGATAGCCAGGGTGCTCTAGATTGGGTCTTAGTGCATCACTCAAGCTGGTTCCAACTCCTGGGTGCATGTGATTTCCCTGCCTCACCCTCTAGAGCCTAGAGTAGTGGAACTATAAGGCACCCGGTTTGAAGGTAGTAAACTACCCTCTCCCCTTGTGGGGCATTAAACCCAAGCTCTTTGCACTGACATCCATTTCCAGCTCTTTTCGGGGGGGGTGTCTCATTGTCAGCAGTTTGTGAACCTCCCTGTATCAGCCTCCTAAGTGTTGGCTCCCCCCACCCCACCCAGTACCGGGGATCGAATTTAGGTCTTTGTGCTTGCAAGGATGGCGGCGAAACCACTGAGCTAAATCCCCGGCCCTAAAGTGTTGGCTTTTAACGTGCATCTGGTCAAGGGATCCTGGAGGCTCAGGTTCTGAAGCCCATTTTCCAGATATGAATAAGGAGGCTCAGGGAAGTATTATAACGTACTATAACGTCAGACTATATCATTATTACAATTTTTATAAAATTGAGCATCAGGCGGCATTGGCCTGTGAAGGCTGTGAGGATTCAATGAATTGACATTTAAAGTGCTTAGTGCAGCGCCTGGCAGACAAGAAGCGCTGCGTGTCTGTTAAACAGAACAGAACGTCGGGTCTCAGTCCACGGCCCTGGAAAGGCGGGAGCCGGTGCCCAGTGAAGCTCCTCGGGCTCCCCCAGATCTTGGCAGAGGCCGGTCCAGGCGCGGGGAAGGCGTTAATGATTTCCGAAGGAGCCGGTTGTGTGAGCGATCGCGGTGGCCGCCTCGGCCCCCCTCT